AATCACCAAAACAATACTGTTTACAATAGTCCCCAAGAAGATAAAATACTTGGGAATAAATCTAACCAGAGATGTAAACAATCTATACAATGAAAACAATATGTACTCAAACATTAAAAAAAAAAAAAAAACCGTTGCCATTGAGTTGGAGTCTTATCAGACGGAGTAGAACTGCCCCATAGGGTTTCCAAGGAGCACCTGGTGGATTCGAACTGCTGACCTTTTGGTTTGCAGCTGTAGGTCTTAACCACTATGACACCAGGGTTGTAAAAGCCTAAATAGAAACCTGGCTAAGACAGTCACAAGGTCAGTGAGTCAAGGTTGTAAGACCTCTGGATGGTTGGAAACAGGACATATTCATTAATCTTTTATTTTTTCTTAAAGAATAAGTTTCCAGTGTTTCAGTGAGCCTGATCACCTAGTTACAAATATGTGGAACAAGACAAGCTACTGCTAAAGGTTATTGTTTAAGGCGTAGCTATTTGTTGTTAGGTGCCGTCGAGTCAATTCCAACTCATAGTGACCCTATAACTACAGGCATTAAAAATTATATGTTTGTGATTATACAACACATAGTTCTGACATTTAATAAGATGACCTTTAGTGTCATGGGTAAGAGAACTCTGTTTTTATAAAGCAGAGCTTACAATTTTATTTCACAATAGATAACACCTGTGAAGCCCTTGAAAGGAGGCTTGACATTTGGTAAACATTTACTCTTTCATTCCACATACCCTAGTGGGTCTATTAGGTATGAGGTCCTGAGTTAGGCACAGAGGATACTGAAGTGAGGGAGACAGAGTTCATGTCGACATGAAATTAGAGTGCAGTGTGGGGACAGGGGAGGAAGGGATGAGCAAAAAGTAGTTATAAAATTCAAAATGAGAAGAAGTAAATTAACAGAACACTGATGGAGAATATTGGAACTGAAAGTGGATAGGACTACATGGAGACCAGGAAGAGCCTCATTTAGCTAGGATTGAAATGTTACCTACTACTCCTACTACTATTGCTATGCGTCGGAATTGACTCGTTAGCAATAGGTTGTTTTTTGTTTTTTACTCATTGGGCAGTGTTTTGTTCTGTTGTACGTAGGGTCTCTGTGAGTGGGAACGACTCAACGGCACCTTACAGCAACAACAGTAACTACTGCTACTACTGTTGCTGTTCTTAGTTGTCTAGGAGATAATTCTAGCCATTAAATTTTCTTAAAATTTTTGGTACCTGCTACCACTTATATATTAGAAACAAAATAAATATGTGTAATAATGATTTAGAAGCTGCTAAATAGACTTAGATTGATACTTTGACTTTTTCATATATATTTGATTATGATTTTATACTGTATGCATATACGGTGTCTGCTAAGAAATGGTGTTATAATTACCTTAAATGTTCTTTGAAAAACTTATTAATTTCAGGAAGAAATATTTTCTTCAAAGTACATCCCTCTCCTACCCAGTACATATACATGCATCCTGGAATCTTACCCACAAATGGAGTGCTGCTTAGGTTCACCTTAAATTTCTTCAGATTGCCATGAATTTATGTGAGTGAGGAGCCCTCCGAAGTGTAAAGGTACCATAGACTAGATATAAAACATTTTTTGGATATGTCGGAGTGCTATTATTGGCAAGCATCATGTTAAGTGCTTTACACATGGTTTCTCATTTGGTCTTCACATGGACTCTGCAGAATAGAGATTAGCCTCATTTTACTGATGTGGAAACTGAGCTTTATAGAGTTTTAAAAACTTCCCTAAACCTAAGATATTGTAGAGCCCAAATTCAGGCTCAGTTATACCTGACTTCTAAGGCGGGCCAGTCCCACCACACTACCCTGTTCGCAGATTCACTCTCCTTTTCTTGCCTCTGTTCCTTTCTCAGGTAAAGGGTCCAGGACTTGGGCTGCTTGGAATTTCTAAAGGGGGTGACCTCTGCCTCTCCATGGCCTCGTTCCTGAAGGGCATCACGGCTGCCACCATAATCAATGGCTCTGTGGCCAATATTGGGGGAGTCTTACACTACAAAGACGAGACCCTGCCCCCCTTGAGTGCCAACAGAAATCGAATCAAGGTGATCAAAGATGGCATTGTAGACATCAATAGCCCTTTGGAAGGCCCTGACCAGAAGAGCTTCATTCCTGTGGAAAGGGCTGAGTGTACCTTCCTGTTCCTTGTTGGTCTGGATGACCACAACTGGAAGAGTGAGTTCTATGCTAATGAGGCCTCTAACCGCTTACAGGCCCATGGTAAGGAAAAGCCCCAGATCATCTGTTACCCAGGGGCCGGGCA